CGTGAATTTTCCTGTCTGAGCCTCGTTTTCCCTACTTCAGGCTCAGCTTATCTAGAGAAATCACGGTGTAGGTATGCGGTTGCAGCGGCACACGTTAACATGTTTGAATTCTGGAACAGGAGAACTCTTCTCTGAATCCCGAGCCCCACTAATTTCAGTCCCCCGCTGAGCATGTTCACTTTTGGGTAAGTGTTGCTCTGGCCGTGAGGGCACCAGCAAAGCGAACTCAACAACAAAAGGACGGCTGGGTTGGTTTTTTTTGTGTGTGTGTGTGGTGTTTGGGGGTTTTTTTATAGTAGTATTATTATTATTTTTGCGAGCCGGGCGAACTCGTCCCTCCTCCAGGTTTAAGAGAGCGCCCTTCAAGCAGCGGCCGTGTCGAGGCACATCCGCTGGGGCCGGGCGGTGTAGCGAGGCCCGCTCTGCCCCGTGCCGGGCGGTCGGTGTGGCGGCGGGGAGGGCGGCCCGGGGGGGGCTCCCAGAGGCTCGGCCGGGCGGCCCGGGCCTAGCGCGCCCGGCCTGCCCCGCGCCCGGGATGGCTCCTGCTCCGGGAGCCGCACAAAGATAATCGCTCAGGAAGTGTCTCGGCCAATCCCCCGCCGCTTTACATTCGGATTCGCCGCGGCGGCCAATCCGGGCGCGGCTCTCATGCGGCAGACAGATGATCAAGCCGGAGTGCCAAGCCCTCCCTGCCCGAGTACTGAGAGCCTGTCCTCCATGTTTTATAAGTATTGACATAACACTGTGTTAACAATGCATCCACAGAGGTAAGCCTTGCTTTTTACCTTGCTTTTTCTCTAAGGCCTATGAGTTGTGGGTTGAGAGCGTGGTCCTCCGTGATTTCTCGTGCAAAACTCACACCACAGGCACTTGTATCGAGTTGGAACTGTTTAAAATTTTTAGCTTTCTTGGGTCACATGGTTAGTAGCCATTAGCCACAGCTTTGTTTTGCAGGCTGGCAAAGCCTTGGCATACCTAGTTCTTCACAGGAGGATGGTGTTTTTAGAGTTTATCAAGATCCTGGTATTCCAAGGGAGCTTTCTGTCTCTGAGCAGTTTGCCAGCACTATTGTCTGTTGTGTCACATGCCTGCTGGAGAGAAAATGGAAGCTAGGGAGCAGATGCATTTAACTGCCCTACAGGGAGTCAAGCAGGGATAATGGCAGACAGAAGAACAGGCAAGTTTACCTTTCTAAACAGTGAATGGAGCAGCTAAGATAAGTTATCTCTGAGAAAATGTGGGATTTTTGAAAACCTAGGCATCAGCAAAAAGTGCTAATGGCAGATTGTAGATATTGGGCCTAGGTGGTGGTGTGCTGTTGCATCATGTTTTTTATGCAGCTTATCTTAACTTGAAATGATCATTGAACCTTTTCTCTTGCAGGAGTAATTAATACAACGCGTTTCTCTTTCAGAAGGACAATGTATGGTTAATATTTTGTTCCTTTAAAGGGGAGTTTTTGTGCTGCAGGTTTTGGGAATGGGGTGCTGCTCAGTAAAATGCAGCAGTGCCTCTGTTTACAAATCTGATGCTTTATGGAAAATGCTTTTGAACTGTTAGCTTTCTTGTTTTACATAGTTCAAATAAACTAATGTACCTTTTATCTGTGCCTTTTTGTTTTGTATTGTATCAGCCACAGTTCTGTGTTGTGGAGTCCAGAAGATATAAAATCATGTGTGGTTCATGACAGTAGTACATGTTGTTCTTTCTTGGG